GCTGTGTTTAGAGGCAGAGTTGGTCCTAGGTCCTCCTCCATACATGTTAAAATGCATTTTTCCCCCCTCTTTTTGAAAGTAGAAGCTTCTTAATGTAAACAGGAGAGATAGTCCGGGAAATAATTTGCGTATTTCTTAGAAAATCTATGATATTCTTGAGAATTACTGCAAAGTGAATCAGCTTAACTTGTTGTAGATGCTGGTATTCCAAGTTTAATCTTAAAAATAAACTATGATAACTATAAATACTCTTCACCTATGGTGAATTAAATATCTTAAGTTATTTCTACATTGAAGTTCTCATTACAAGTTGTAAATAGCTGTGTCTACATTAAAATATTAAATCTTATCTATATGTTATAAATAAAAATATAAACACTGTTAAATTTATTTATTTATTTAATATATTTTAAAATCATGCTGTTATTATTAAATACTTACATATCTATTAAAGTATTTGTTTGTGTAATAAATTATATATCCTTATAGTAATGCAGTACTATTCAAGTCTGTACCACACACATAGTTTTATCCACTGGTGTTTTTCTTTAAAAATAGTACTGAGTAATAACACATCACTTGTTCAAACTGTCATTTGGGATTCATTAAAATTTATGCTGGCAAACTATATTCCCTACATAAAATGTCTGATTAGCAGCTATTTAAAAGTAGACTTGCCTTTATGTTTTTAGATTCTCATTTAAATATCAGAATTCTGACATTTTTTTCTCAGAATTCTGACTTTAATCTCTTTTTCCCCATAGTAAACTGAAATAAAATGAAAAAAATCAGTTTAATTTTTAAAAATTTTTGAGTCGCCCTAATCCTCTTCGATATTATACGGAAGAGGATTAGGGACACTGAAACAAAAAAAAAAAGTTAACTGATTTTTAAATTTTATTTCAGTTTTGTATGGGAAAAAAGTTAGTTTTTCTAAGAATTCTGACTTTAATCTCATAATTCTGACTTTTTTCTCAGAATTCTGACTTTTTTCCTCAAAATTCTGATTTCTTTCTCAGAATTCTCACTTTAATCTCAGAATTCTGACTTTGATCTCAAAATTCTGACTTTAATCTAAGAATTCTGACTCTTTTTATCATCAGAATTCAGTCAGAATTCTGAGAAAAATGTCAGAATTTTGAGAAAAAATGTCACAATTCTGACTTTTTTCCCATACTAAACTAAAATAAAATTTAAATATGAGTTAACTTTTTCTTCTTTTTTTTCCAGTGGCCCTAATCCTCTTCCGTAGAAATAACCAATATACACCTATGGAAATTTCAACAGTAATGATTTTTTTTAAAAAATATCCATTGCATGTAACGTGTAAAAATATTAGGCAATTCTTTCTTCTTCTTCTTCTTCTTTTTTATTTTTTTTATTTTTTTTTATTTTTTTTTTAGATGAGAAAGAGAAAACGATTTGACCAATCTATTCTGCTGACAGCTAATGTACAGTCCAACTCAGACTGCAAAGGCATTGGCTGTTTAGCCTGTCACGTGGATCTGTTTATATCCAGAGGCCTTTCCGGTATAGGATGATTGACAGGTCTTTGGTCCAATCACGAGCTGATATAGGATCGCTGCAGGGGGCGGAAGTTAGTGCTCTCACATGAGAAGCAAGAAGAAGCCATCGATGGGGATTACATTGTAACGTTTATGGTCATCTTCATCGACTCCTCGTCCGAACGGGATGAATAATTTCCGCCGTCAATATTTTTGGGTTCATTTCTTGTGGCGATGCGCAGTAAAGGAGAGTAATGTCGCTGACAGCTGGTAGCTACCGGGGAAAAAAGGTAAAGCTGCGAGCAGAAGCAGGAGAGGTAAACACCCAGGTTAGCTGCCTGTGTTAGCCTCATGCTAATTTCCTCTGTTTTGGTGTCTAACGGAAACATTTTAATGGAATCCGCTTTGATATTTTTTCAGCAACGCTTTGTCCTTAACGTCAACACGTCATTCTAACGGTTTTAGATGAATTATGCTGCTGCATTTTTTTTAATGAATGTTGGTTTAGTTTGACGGTAGCTGAGACTTTCTTTCTGATCGTGTTGAATGTTTTGTTGTTAATAGTTTATCCCTCGCATTTAATAACCATGTAATAATGATGTCATTTCGTTTCTTCAGAAAATGTGATCACTGTCACTTGATGTTTAGTCATCATCTGACCCCTCCTCATATGAAACATGTTGTTCTCCCATTATAGCCTTTATTTCTTATGATGCATAAAAGTAGTTTGCAAATCAATCTGTTTCAAAACAGCCAATATTGGCTGTTTTGAAACAGATTGATTTGCAAACTACTTTAGAAATTATTCTATTTATTAATCATAACAAAATTTCTCCTAAAGTTCATAATAAAGAGTTAAACATCAGTGAGCTACCGTATATTTATGTGAATGTTTTCAGCATCAAAAGAAAAGAAAAATGGATGATCGTGTATAGGTTGAAATTTATTTACAGAATTTCATATTTAGATGTTTCTCAGTTTACATTGGATCTTGGATAAAGTTCTAACATCTGCAGATCCTGCAGATGATTACCTAAATGAAAAATGTGATGCATGTTCTTAGGTCATATTATGTTAGTTCAATGATTTGTTATAGTCCTTTATTTCATGTAAAAAGTCATGTTTGTTATTGTTAGGTTGGATTGTTTTTCACTGACAAAATCCCTGGAACTTTTAATTAGCCTTTGCAAAAGCTCATTAAACAGTTAGACTTTAGACCGCTTTTATTTTGTACACACAAGTGTAAACAAAAAGACATTTGGTTAAGAACAGCTCTCTGGACTATTTTTTTTAAAGTGCAGCCTTGATAAGGTAAGCAGCAGTGATTAAACAACTTTGTGATGAAAAACAGTTGCTGATAGGTGAAATCAATTCATATACCCTGGCTTTAAAAATATATTTTTATATATATATATATAACTTTACAAGGTAAATAAAGAAAATATCCAGCTGTCTACAGGCGAGAGGCGGGGTCCACCTTGGACAGGTTGCCAGTCCATCGCAGGGCAACACAGAGACAACCAACCATTCACACGCACACACTCACACCTAAGGAGAATTTAGAGAAGCCAGTTAACCTAACAGTCATGTTTTTGGACTGAGGGAGGAAGCCGGAGTACCCGGAGAGAACCCACGCATGCTCAGGGAGAACATGCAAACTCCCCAGGCTGGGAATCAAACCCAGAAACTTCCCACTGCCCCATTGAGCAGCTGACCCCGTTTGGGATAAGCGTGAAGAAAAATGGATGGATAAAGAAAATATCAAGCATTTTCTATTTAACATCATCAAAGCTTGTTTTAAACCTGTGATTCCAAATAAAAACCTAATTTTAATCTGCGGCTGGATTAAATATATCGAGCGATTTGAGCAGATCACTGTGTCACACCTGCTACTAACCATCCGTCTTTTCACTGTTATTATTCAAACCTCATTTTATAAAAAGCAAAATAGGATTCAACATTTGGGCAATAAAAATATATATATTATTCGGTTTGTAATGACATTTTCAATTGTTGGCAGTAGTTTGATTTTCCTGTTAGAGGTATTAAAGATTTAACGGCTGCAGTTAGATTCAACCTGTGCAAAGATTTTGCTTTGATGTACATATGGCAAAAAGAATAAAATGCATATGAATAAATACAACTAGCTTAAAGAATGTCTCACACTTCTTCTTTGCTTGCAGGAAAATCTGATTAATTCTACTTATGATGTTTTCTGCTTTAATGTGCCTCATTTTTTATATTTGGCTTTCAACATGTTTTCCTTGCAGTTTTTACTCACTGTGTTCCCATAAAACTTTACAGTAACTGAATAGATGGACTTCTCTTTGAATGCCATAGTTTTTTAAGCCGCCCTTTGAGTTGCACTCTTTTCACCTGATGCAGCCAAACAGGAAGCTGCAGCAGCAACTCTCTTTGTGAACATAACTTTTGGAGGTAAAAATCCTGGATTAGATTGACCATTTTCACTTTATTAAAAAAAAAACTTTATTATTTGTTTTACTCTTCTTATATTTTTTGTCCCGTTAATCCCAAAAGCCGATTGCCCAATTTTACCATTAAGTGATTTATTTTTTTCCGAAATATTAGCTGTTTTTTCACACCTGGAAGTTTACCTTGATGTAGACTTTATGTTAAAAACTTGAAATAATCTCATCAAAGAAAAAATTCTTTTTTTTTCTGTCTTTGTTTTAGGTGTGATTAGTCCCACTGCAGGACAGTGTGTGGGGTCTTTCCGGCTCTGTATGTTCATGAGCGGCGTAGAAGACGGTGATTGTAACGTGATGCCAAAATGCTGCTGTCTCTGGGAATGCTGATGCTGTCCGCCACCCAGATTTACACCATCTTCACCGTGCAGCTCTTCGCCTTCCTCAACCTGCTGCCTGTGGAGGCCGATATCGCTGCTGTGAGTAGGCATATAAAAAAAAAAAAAACAACCCACACAAATGGATGGTTTTTAACAGACAAGAAGGAATTGTTCTGTTTTGTTCAGAGCTTTAGATCGTCATTGAGATGTGCTTCTGTTTATTTT